TGGCATCCATTGTTAAAATCTATGAGAATCCTCTATAGGGACTAGCTACAAAATGAGTAAAGACAGAATAGCTCTTTTCAAAAATGTAGTGAGCTGCCTACCAAGACAGCATTTTAAGGGGATTTTGGGGGCACTCCTGATGTGAAATCTAAATCAAATGGTAAGCAGCTACATTATCCTGCCTCCTAATATTTCTCATTTTGGATAATTTCTGAGGCAGCATGATACATATCCTTTGCGAAGCAAGACATCAATCTCATAATTGTAAGCACAGTGAAATGTATCTTATGGCTGAAATGCACAACTTCCAGAATCTGAACAGATTTCAAAACAGCAGTCGTCTTAAACTTTGAAAATGTTTACAGAGAAAGACTGGGCCTCATGTACTAAATGACCTCCAATTAATAGAGGTTAATTAAATGACCTCCAATTAGGCCCTGTCCACACGAACGCGGTTATTTTTAAAACCACAGCTTTTTCTACGTGGTTTGGCCGTTCGTCCACACGCAAACGCAGCGCCAGGTCACTGAAACCGAACATTTTTGAAAATGCCTGCCAGGGTGAAGATTTTCAAAAACTCCGGTTGCAGTGTTATCGTGTAGACAACGAAACGGGAGTTTTTGGCTTGTAACGTCGGAGCCTGCGCTGTTATCTCCACCTACTGGAAACTTTTTCAGGCTTCTGATTGGCCAACATGGCTTTAGGGTTGAGATTATATCGCCACCTGTTGGTTTGGCATGCTCTTGACAGTGCTTCAAAGCATGCGTTTGCGTTTACATTTGGACGGAGATTTTAAAAAAAAACGGGAGGAAAAACTCAGTTTATAAAAAATACCCGTGTACGTGTGGACATGGCCTTAATAGAGTAAAATCTGCAGTATATGCCCATCATACAGTACAAGATTTTTAAAATCAGCTCTACCCAAAACTGTAGACTGGCTCTGACTCCAGACTGAAATTTGGGGCAAATATCTTGGCAAAAGTCGTTACTAAAAAATTACTTATAATATACAATAAAATACAATATAATATAATATAATATATATATATATATATATTATACAAAATGTATAGTATATATTATATAATATTATAATGTGTTGTTAGCACAGCAACATGTTAAAATGCTAAATTGTATCCAAAATAATTAGTTTATTTTAAAAATATTTTCAGTACTGAAAGGCATTGACCAAAAATAGTTGAATCTTCAAATGAGCTATTGTTGTTAAATTATTATAAATAAAATTATAAATTGTTAGCTTAGCAACATGTTAAAATACCAAAATGTATCCAAAATAATGGAGTCAAGAAAAATACAGTATAAATTCAATATTTAAAAAAAATTTGTCCAATCTGGTTTAAATTAGCTATTTTATTGTGATGTTAGCTTAGCAATGTTAAAATGCTAAAGAAAAATGTATCCAAAATTGCAGATGGAGTCAAAAGAAAAAGAAAATTATAAATATACTTAATTTGACACTGAAATGTTCAATCTATTTCAGATTAGCTATTTTAGCAACATGCTATTTCTTAGCAACATGCTAAGTCACTTCAGAGTTATACTGTATACAGCAGTTCAAA